TTCATCAAACCTCCCATTGTTTTGCCTTTTTCCTTCCCTCTCCACCATCTCTTGTTGAGTATTATTTTTCCCTTCACCCAAATAGCACACCTGTGTATCGTGGAATGTAAAACTGAGTGTTTTGGAACCTGTAACTCTTTATTGGAATAGAAAGCCTTGTCTTTCACTTGCAGAATGACTGGTGGTTTTGAACTGCTGACTTTGTGGTTAGCAGCCCCACGTAATTACTACACCACCAGGTGCTAGATAAATTTTATAAATTTAGTACAAATAGCCTCACATTAGAGGACTTTTGTTTGACAGTGCCTTTAAAATTATAATTGTATAAAATCAACCCCATTTCCTCAGGAAAAGTTAAGAAAAAGAACTGAAGAGCCTGATCGGGATGAACGTTTAAAAAAGGAGAAGCAAGAGCGAGAAGAAAGAGAGAAGGAGCGGGAGAGAGAAAGGGAAGAAAGAGAAAGGAAAAGACGAAGAGAGGAGGAAGAAAGAGAAAAAGAAAGGGCTCGTGACAGAGAAAGAAGAAAGAGAAGTCGCTCACGAAGCAGACACTCCAGCCGAACTTCTGACCGAAGATGCAGCAGATCTCGGGACCACAAGCGGTCGCGAAGTCGCGAAAGAAGGAGAAGCAGGTATATAACCCCTTAAGGTGGCACCTGGTGAGTGTCCAGTGAGTGGTCGTGATTATTAGTATAACTCCTTGGAATGAAACCTAATTCTGCCAATGAGTCAATTCTGACTCAAGACAATCCTATTGGACAGGGAAACAGCCCTGAGACGAACTCACCGAAGTAGAAAGCCCCATCTTTCTCCCACTCCTTGGGAGAGAAGCTCTAAATGGAGTTAAGCACATTGGCATGGATTTCATGAGAAATAAGATTCTGTCTTCAGGACAACTAATTTGCTCTTTGACCGGTCTGAGTAGATTTGGAAGTCTAAATTCTGAAGAGTCACAAATATAAATGTTTTAATAGTATTTGCTGCTTGAGGATAAGTTTTATTTAATCTTATTATTCAATGGTAGGTAGTTCTTCAGTGCATTTTTTTTTTCATTGTAATAATTAGCTGAAATTGCTTTTATTTGTGTTTTAAATTAGAAGTCGAGATCGACGAAGAAGCAGAAGCCACGATAGATCAGAAAGAAAACACAGATCTCGTAGTCGGGATAGAAGAAGGTCAAAAAGCCGGGACCGAAAGTCTTACAAGCACAGAAGCAAAAGTCGGGACAGAGAACAAGATAGGAAATCCAAGGAAAAAGGTTAGTTTACATGTGAATTTAATTCAGTAAGATATTGTGTTATCATATTCTTGTCTCCCACTTAGTTGTTGTGTTTTTTTTTTTTTCGGGACATGGGCAAAGCTTCTTTTAAGTAGTTTTTTTTTTTTAATATAAAACATATAGTTAAGTTGCCCTTTAAAAGGGTTACATTACATCATCACAATCAGTTCTAATGCTCTCCCAATTCCTGTGGGATATTTTTTCTTTTAAATCTGTTTCACTGTGTGCCTTGTACATTATGATCATTGATCCTGTAGTGCAGCAATCCGTTTATTTCATAACTAGCTTTTGAGTTTCCTGTAGTAGCCATGTTTCCACCTGAATTACTGCTCTGTCCCTCAGTTGCTGTGGCTTCCTAGCATTTGGTTTACTGAGTTCTTAGTACTATTAATGAACTTTTTTCATTTTGTCTTTAGCACGTATTCTCATTTTTAATTTAATTGGCCAATTAAGAAAAGATCATTCTTTTTTAACAGTTTCTCATTTCTGCATTTTCATTTATTCATATTCTGTTTGCTTTTTAAAAAAATATTGATGGGCTCTTTGTTGCATGGCTTCTATAGGAATAAGAATGGGCCTATTTCTGATTCTCTTGGCTATGCATCACCAGTTTGTTCTACTTATCTGCTGTGTGTGATCAGTAACATCATACTTGACTGTGCTTTCCATTTGAAACTTGGATGTGGTGCTTGGCATCGTTGGTAGAACTATCTTCATGCCTCAGGTTTTTCCTAGACTGAGGTGGTCTGCCCGCATACATAGTGGATATATAAGTTTGGTTTTTCTTTTATTCCCTAAATAATTGTTCCCTCGCTTTTAAAAATACTTATATGTGTTTAAAAAATACTTATATGTGTAACCCTTGCTTTTGTAAAATGGAGCAATTAGAAACATGGATGTCTCTTTTAAAACTTTAATATTTTAAAATGCAAATTTAGAAACTGCTATAAAAGGTTGACTGGTTTTATATTAGTTTCAGAAAGTTTCTCCTAATTTTTTTAATTTTGTGGAAGACCTTTTTGTATAGTATGTTGTTGAGTTGCAAGTTCAGCTTCTAGGAGCCAGATATGAATGTCAGATCAAATTTTAAAAACTTTCCAGAAAGTTTCCAATCCCATGATCTTGTCATTTTGATTGCTGTTTTTATATCGTCACTTGCGTTACTTAAAATGGTTGGGTTTATGGAAAATGGTAAGTAGCCTGTATAATGATCTGCAATCCACGGTAAGAAGTAATTGGCACTGAGTCTGGCTCGAAAGCAAGCAGATCTGTGTAATTTCTAGATAAAACAAAGTGTCTTGAATTTACATACATGGAACCCTAATCGTAGTAGTGACGTAACAGAGCTTATGAAACACCTTTTAAAGGAACATAAACTGAGTAGTGTTTAGAATGTGCACATGGACAGTTGGGGGGTTTCCTGATGAAATTTTGAGAAGATTGACACAGAAAGCTCTTCGTCAGGCTTATCTCGGAATATTGGGCATACCATTGTAGGTTTAGTCTTTAACTTTGGGATCCCTTTTAGATGTGACCTAACTTATTGGCTTTGGAAAATGACACAAAGCCATTCAGATAGTCCTAAGTATATAAATAAAGGCAGGCCTGGGCATTTGGGGCCAGGTACTAGGAGTAGCAGGTATTTGAAAATGGCAAATGAGGAAGAACAAGTTCTATGTGCCAGGTGTTGTGATGAAAGCAATTTATCTAATCCTCATATGAAGAGTGGGTTCCTTTACAGAACTCTCAGCACAAGCCAATGTTGACTGCTCCCCTTCCCAAGAGTTTTTTTTTAATTTAACAGTTTTATTAGCACTTCCCCATGTCATACAATTCAGTCTTATCAAGATGAGTTTTACAATTATCACCACATTCAATTCTAGAACATTTTTTTTTCTACCTTGTACTTGTTGACAAGAGAGTTTTGGGTTTTTTTGTACATACCCCCAAATCCGCCACATAATTGTGGATGTCCTTAGGACTGGTAAAACCTACCATATATACATAGGGCAGAAGATAAAGATTATTGAACTTATTGCTTGCCCTCTATGGGGCAACAAGATGACCCTTCCTCATCGAAGCTACCTGTGCACCGGAGAAGCCCATAGGCGTAAAGGGAGGACTTTCCCACAGTCCGTTAGAGCACACGGCACTGGCCCAGGTCCCGCAGGGGACAGGCAGATAGGAAGCAAGTTCTGTCTGCGTGTATCTGCTTGCACATTGAGTTGTGCTTCTTAATTTTTATCACTGACCCTCCTAAGCCGTGCTTTGTTTTCACTCCCATTCTTCCCCCTGGTGTTTGTCCAGGATCTGTGTAAACGGCACTGCCCTCAAAACAGTGTCTCTTCAGATGTTTTTAGTCTGACAGGGAAAGTTACTGCTGTAACATTTTCAATAGAAATCTTTGGTTAGGACAGTGCTTAGAATTGAAGAGGCTAGATTGTAGTTGCTCTGCCATTCTTGCCTCTGGCCGGAGGTGTCCTCCTTGTAGTGAAAAAAGGTGAATCTTACTTTTTTCAGCAGCTGAGTTGAATTTTAATTTGTCTGGGAAAACAACTTTCAGATGGTAGGTTTATTTAGGTTGCTTGGATTGGGATTTAGGTCCATTTTCTCAATTAAAGCTTGTTCTTCTTGAGTACTGAAATATGTATATAAAGAAATCTCTTGCAGTTAAAAAAACTATAATTGGGAAAACATGCCAACTCTTTTCACTTTTTGAGATTACTACTTTTATCCTTCTAGCTTAAGTATTAATACACCTCATATCAACACCATTTTTTGTGTACTCTTCCTTGCCCCTATTTGTTTTTTCATAACTTTTACTCAAAGTGAAATTTAATGAAAGACTGAATGATTTGGAGTTGTCTACATGTAAGGTTTTCAACAGTTTGAATGAAATTTCCCACTGTTTTACCTTTTGATTTCTTTTAATTCCTCTCCTTTCCCTCTCCCTGCTCAATAAGTTTTAAATTTGAAACCTTTTGACAAATTCACCAAATTGTGTTATACCTGCAGTGTGTGAGAATTGTTATTTTGATTGCTTCACTTTTCAAAGTTGTGTCTTTATTGTATTTTGTTTTAAAATTCATGGTCAATGTGTTCTTTTATGGCAGAAAAGAGGGGAACTGATGATAAAAAGAGTAGTGTGAAGTCCAGTAGTCGAGAAAAACAGAGTGAAGACGGCAACACAGACTTGAAGGAAAGTGACACTACGAATGAGGTCAATGGGACCAGTGAAGACATTAAATCTGAAGGTGACACTCAGTCCAATTAAAACTGATCTGATAAGACCTCAGATCAGACGGAGGTACGTGCATTGTCTCTCCCTCTGAGTAGCTTTAGTTACTGCTTGACAGTGCAGCGTAAGTATGCACAGACGAAGACGGAGCTCAGCGAGCGAGACGACACACAGAGCCTCTTCTGAAGGAAAGACAGTGTAGCCCTGCAAAACATTTGGAGGTACATTGTTTTGTCTCCGCTCTTTTGTAGCAGACTCGTGCCCCGTTAGTGTGCCTCTTTGGGAATGACCCACCCACATTTGTAACATATAGTCACCGTTGAAAAGTTAATTATCCTTTTTTTAGGGATTTTGCTGTCATTTCTTTCTTTTTCTTTTTTTTTTAAATGAAAAGGTTGAACTGTTTTTTTTTCTTTTTGCTATTGAGTCCATCTTGTGTTGGTACATTGGCAGAGACATGCTTTAAAAACTTAAATATTTCTGAGGCACATGTTGGACTACTTTGCTTTAATTAAACTGCTAGTATTTCTTTGTCAAGGATGTTTCTAGTTTTTTGCTTTATTGCCTTGCATTCTAATGCAGTTTGTTCTGTAACTCGAGAGCCAGTAGCATTGGATTGATGGAAGTGTAGGGTTTATGAATTATTGCAGCTGACTACCATACCTCACACAGCGTTGGTGTTGTGAGCGGCCCATGAAAAGCCAAATTAAAAATCAAGGATTCAGTCAAACTAAGCAGGTACTCATGCCAGGTACTCCTTTCTCTACCCACATCCATGTTTGAATGCTGTTGCCTGTGATCTTTACGCTTAATGTTGTGTATCTTTTTTGTTCTTTACAAGAAGCGCAGAGGGGTTTTTTTTGTGTATTGTGTGAAAACTATAAGTCAAGTGTTAACAGAATGGAATTTTTTTTTGACTGTATGTACGGATGCAGTGGTGCCAGGATTAGATTTCTTTATCAAATTTTAAATACAATAAACACTTCATTTTATTCGCCTTGTTACATTCATTGCAATTCTCAAGTCTTTCAGAGGTATGTGTTTAATGTTTCCTACTGTGTAGGAGAATTTGCAATCAGCCACAGATCCATAGTGACAGGCACTGGCTGATGTGTGAGTAGCAAGGATAGACACCTGCAATGTGAAAGACAAAGAACTGACTGACTCTCTAGAATGAATTTGGGGTTTTTAAGAACTATTAAAAGCCAGGTGTTAATAAGTGTTCTTAAAACCTATAAATCTCATTCTTTGGGCTAGTGGGATCACATGATTCTAATGAAAGGAAGTACCAATTAGTCATCTAGTCATTGGCATTGCTCTTCTAGGGAAGCATTAGTGCTAAATCTGTGTGCCATGTTGACGCACAGGCAGGTACATGGGCAGGCACGTGACTTTCAGGATCACACTGATGCCTTGATCATTGAAAAGAATACAAACATCCCACATTCGTATGGTAATTTTAATTAGCAGTTAGTGATTGGCCAATAATTAGTCATAAAAATTAGCTTTTTAACATGTTGTCTAATTATCATTTTCCCCAAAATTTTGCATTGTAGGACTACCATTCGAAGATTTTTGGAAGAATACTGAAAACGGCAGAGTGTGAAGATCGACATTAAAATGAGGTGAAAGAAAGCTATAGTGGCATAGAAAAAGTATAAAGCTCAGTTAGGGTTTTTTTTTTAATTATTAAAAATTAATTCAGGACTGATGTGACCTACCAGATTTCAGAACATGTGTTAATAGAATATATGCCACTGAAAACTTAGGTCCTGTATCATATTTTTTTCTTTAAGACTTTTTAAGAAATATTACCCAAAACATGTGGCTTGCTCAGTGTTTAATTAAAAAGTTTTCATTCTTGGACTTTGAAAACAGGATTAAACGTTAGTATTTGTGTGAATCAGACTAAGTGAGATTCCATTTTTACAACTGCTATACCTAGCTTTTGGATTTAGACGTGAAAATAAAGTATCTCTGACTTTTCTGTTACAAACTTGATTGTCTCTGTCATTGGAAAGATTTAGTATTAATCTTTTTCTAATAAAGTTATTGACTCTGAAGTAGTCCCTTGTTTTAAATATAACAGGTACACTATTACTAGAGGTGTTGGTGTACAATTTTATCCGATTTGTTCTGTTTAAGACTAATCTTTACGGAATTTCCAATTAAATGTTTTAAATAATGGTGCTTCAATTCTGGGTGGTTATGAATATATTTTAATTTTACTTTTAATGATGAAAACATACCATGAGCTAGAATATATTTTCACATCCCTGAGAGTTTTCTTTAATAGTACAAAATCCAATATATGCTGACAAACACTATCATTCTGTAGCTATGCATTAATGGTGTAGAAGAGCATCCAAGAACTCTTAGTTTTGGGCCGTTGTTTTACATTCTGTATCAAGATACAGCTTCTAATCTTTTGTCAGTTTAGAGATGTGTTTATTTCTTTGTATGGGGTGTGTAGTTTAATGTAACACAGATTAAAACCACCTGATTCTTAGCAGCTGACCATTTTATGTCACATAGGAAAATTGGCAGCATGTTTCTATTTATAGCCACCAACATCAACTGTACAAAAATATGAAATTCCAGTGGTTTATAATTTTCAGATATTAGCATCCATTTATATAAGTAGGGAATCTGGGTAGTCCATGGCTTAAGTGACTTTACCACGGTCATTTGGTCTCATGTTGATGGAGAGCTAACTAGATAAGTAATCCAGGTCTGTGCTTCATAGTCTATTACTTCAGTGTTATGCCACTGTATTTGTTTTAATAGGCTTAATGAACCATACAGAAATTACTGACACACACCCTTCATACGCTCTGGAGAACTCTGAAGCTCTGACTTCAGGGGCCGTGTCTGAGGAAACACTGGGCACTGAGCACCCCTGGCTTTCCTAGCTGACCTGGAGAGATGCAGCTGTAGGTGAGCGGGTTATTCTGAGTTTGTAAGAGACGATTCACAGGAATAAGACAAAATCTAACAAAACACAAAGCTCCCAGTTTCTGCTTTTTGTAGTTTGACAAAATTGTAGTTCTAAGTGTAAACGATAGCTTATTATATTGTACTACTAAGTATTTAGAAAAACAAGACAAATTTATTGTATTAACACATTAAGATGATAGATTGATTCTGTTCTGCCTCATTTAGAATTAGCAGTTAATAGCTTTAATGAAGTTCAGCAAATGAATTAAATCCATTGATAACTATTGAACTTACATAGGACTTGAGCGGGAAGGCCTGGTCTCTTAGGACATCTATGTTTAAGATCTGTGAGTGAGCACACACACACACACACACACACACTCTCACACACACACACACACAATTAAGAGATGGGGTTTTTGTTGTGTTCCCTTCCTCCCACTATATCAAAGTTGAACTGGCTCAGGAGGAGCTGACAACTGCGAACCAAGCTCACAGGAATCCAATATAGAGGGCAGGTGCTAATTTACTCTAAGAAATACGTGTTTCTACCATGCATTATTTTCCCTTTGGAAAGCGGTCTAGAGGAGCAAGTTGTAATTAACCTTATAAGCATGGAATCAGTTATTTTAAACTTTAATTGAACAGTAACTCATGATCAGTCTTCATGTGTGTGCTTGTGTGTATCCGTGCCCTGTTTCCCCAATTATTTGAAGCAGGTCTCAGATACAGTACTTAAGCTATAGATATTTCTGCATGTTTCTCCCAAAGATTAGGGTCCCTTAATGTCAAATAAGATTGAATGAACTTAATTGTCAGTCTTCAAGCTACAATCCTCGTCTGATAATATAATCCCCATTGTGCCTCAAGGGGCCAGGCAAAGCAGAGGAGATGATAATGTAGAAGTGGATTCTCCATGTTAAAACAGACCCCTTCTTTCCTCCAGATTGCACTACGTCTATTTTCTTGTTTGGATTTAAGTGTCTTTCTTGCCTTTTTGGTCTGGATTATAATAACCTAGTCATGTGACCTACTTTAGGTGTGTATATAGACATTTATGAATGTCCAAAAATCAGACAAATTGGACTTGCCCCTTTAACGTTGTGTAGTTTTGTCTCGTTTTTAAATGATTGCACATATGAAACAGATTCATCAGTCATGTGCACAGGCAGCTTTTAATTCACTGAAAAGGCTTCAAGCCTCTTTCTTGCACTAAAATAACTACATACACCTGTGCCGACTTACCTGCAAACTCGACCTAAAGACACACACAGGGATCAGGTCTAGTTTGTAAACCAGGGCCTGTTTGTACTTAACACCATTGCTTAGAGCATTTCTCACCTGCAGTTGTTTCTTAATATAGTCAATGTCCCAGAGATAACCAAGTTCAAGGTCTTCAAACACTTTGACCTCATAAGAGTTGTGTTCAGCCACATTCTGATTAAAGTTTCTAGAGAGAAAAACTGAAAATTTTATGGTCATAGGTTTTTGAGCTTGCATCAGTTGTTTTTAAAACTCAATGCATTGTAGATGAGATGTGAATATGTTTTTAAATATCTAATGTGCATGAAACAAAAATAAACACCCTGAGAATTTCTTGTATATATTCTGTGGGTTGGGACTTCGTTCGGTTGGCTTTCACGTTTGAGATTGGAGTTTGGTTGGTTGTGAAAGATCCCCAGGTGGCTCCTTTTTGGAATTTTGTATTACAGTTGTAATGTTCGCACACGGTGAGACTGCCCACACCAGAAGTGCTCCGCAAAGGGTGTCTCCCTTCCCCTCCTGTCCTCTATTGCTCGGAGTCTTCCAGGTGTTTTTTTTTAGGGGATAAGGAGGGACCTGAGTATATATGTGTAGGGTTTTTTAAATATATGGTAGCTTACTCTGTTCTGAATCTTGCTGTTTTCACCAAATATATTTAGAAATATTTATTTTGGGACACAGGACAACAGCACTTTTAAAAGTTTCACATGTAGTTTTTAAAGTACATTTCACAGAAGCCAAAGTAGAATAGATGTAGTTTTCACTGTTGTATTGGAATTTTGAACTTCCTATTTTTAAAATGGAGCTTGAGTTCCTTAATCTTCCCCTCAGCCATTCCAAGCAGGGCCGTCCGTCGTCAACAAGTCTCACATCAGTGTTTAGGAGTGACTCCTTTGAAGAAGAACTTGGCATAACTGAGAACGAGTATAGTCATCTCTTTTGTTGTGGCCATCTATCCTCAATAATACTCTGCAAAACTCATACAAAAGTGCATCAGGGGATCTGTGTAAGAAGGTTCACAATAGCATCGTTTGTAACAGGAAAAGAAAGCAGTCAGCCAGAAGACCCACGTGTTCGTCAGCTGCTCGTTGGATAAACGTTCTAGTGTATTTCTACCGTGGAATTGCACACAAGTGAGACTGCACTACAGCTACACCAGTGGACATTGATGAATCTCAACACCAACACCCCCTCCCCCCCAAAAAAGTCAAGAATGCATCTACTATGATATCCATTTCTGTGAAGGTCAAAAACAAGCCAATTCTGTACATTACGGTAACTGAAAAGAAATGATCAACATGGAGTTCACTGTTGTTGGTGGGGGCTGGGGGAGGGCATTTAGAGAGGAACTGGCAATGTTTGTTTCTGAAGCTAGGTGGGAAGTATGTGGGCAGGCATTTTTTAATTGTGTATGTGCTTTGTATGTATGGTATTTCTTAATAAAATTTAAATGGGAAAAGGTCTTGGTGTAGGTAGTGGCTAATAAAACAGAAATATAAGTAGTGCATTATCTGAGTCACAAATTCACAAGATGCTATTTAAGTGCAGAGAGAGGACTTCAGTGAATGTTTTCTTTGTGAGATCTTAATCTGTATCTTGACGACATTTTTGTTTGGGTGCCAGCCAGGGAGCTGGTGTTTTCGATCTGTCTGAGCAGCTTTCACGGAAGCATCCTCTTAGATTTATGCCATTCCATTAAGAGAATCGAGCTGAGCTGGAGAAGACCCAGGCGCCTAGCCCTGGGTCAGCACACCTTTCCCTTTGTTCACACTTAGAGAACCACTTCCCTAGGCTCTACATCTTAGTTACCAAGGTGTGTTAAGAAAAATGGTTTTACTTTTAAAGCAAGGAGATGGTTAAAATTTACTTTTAGACATGTGAGATTCAAATAAAACCATACCATCAATTAATAGTATTGTTCTCAAACTACCCCCACCCTTCCCCAACATATCCCTCATGTGAGACTTGGATTCCGTCCCTGTGAATCTGAATTCAGCCATCAGGCTACGAAACAGCTCACTTCCCTCATCCAGCCTTTATGGGGAGGCTTCCAAAAGTTGATGGAGAAGATGAGATTTCCCCACAAATGCCCTGAGGCGGGTATTAAGGCGCAGGGTGGAAAGTGGCAGCATTCTGACCCAGAGCCGCTCCTTGTTAGGCACGTGGGTATATGTGTAAGAATTCTGTGTCACAACACATTTTCTACTGGAATCTCAGTGAAGTTGCTCCTTATTCAAATTATAATTGACTATTAACATCAATCCTGAATATCTTCCTGAATACTTTGTGTTCTATGAAATTGTACATTTGGAAAATAATGGAAAATTAAGTGATTTTGAAAATATTTTCAGCAGTGTCATTGGGACTGGCCTGTCTATTGAAATCCTCTGGCATCAGCAGATGAGGGCTTGGTTTGGAAGTTTTTCCATCCAGGATTTGAGTTGACCCAGGTGCTCTGTACCACGGAAAATGTTTTTCTTTTTGTTAGTGAACCCTGTGGTGACTGCAAGGTCACGGTTCAACCCCACAAGTTGCTCTGGAGGTGGGGGTGGGGGGAATTTAACTGGCTGCGCCTGTTAAAAAAGAGTTACAGCACTGGGGACTGTAGGTGGGTAGGGTCCCGATAAGTTGAAATTAACTCAATGACAGTGGGTTGATTGGGTTGGAAGACAAGCTGTTCGGTTATCAGCCCTGTGTTGCTTATCCCCCACTACACTGAAGTTGGATTATTTATTGAGTTAGAGAGGGATCTATTTTGAGGAAAACTGTATTAA